GCCCCGCCTCTCTCTCTCACTCTCTCGTGCTCTCTCTTTCTCTCTCTCTCTCTCTCACATACGCATGCACGCACGCACACACACACACACACACGATGCGCAAAACTCCGCCTTTGAACAGTCAATAGCAAATACTTAAACTAATAACAAAACAGTAGCTGATTCAGAAGCGCCAGATTGTCATAGCAAAGTCAGAATTACCTCCTCTCCTAGGTTCACGAAACGGTCGTCCATAAAATGCATTGCTGTTCTGTTGTAAGTAATCTTAAAGATTCCTAAATGCATCTACTTTCGGAAGGCCAAATAAAGTGCTTTTGCTTTCGCCTAGAAACACACAGCGTCTCCCTGACATGCTGCTTCAACACTAACTGCGGTTACTGAAACCACGCCTTCTTTCTTTGCGTGCACATTTGGGCCGCATTATGCAAATATTTCCACATAGTGAGGTAGATATGTGGGGGCGTGTTAGAACGAGCCGTTTTAGGGGGGCGTGGCAGAGTCTTAACTTTGATAAAGAATATCTCTTTGGTTTTGAGACTTTAGTGTTTGCAACTTCAGGGATCTTATCTATTCACGAACAGCTTGTAACACTCCAAAGAGAAAGGAAAACTTGAAATCGCATCATATGACCCCTTTAATGTAAACTCTGTTCTAATATCTTATTGGACAGACAGTGTAAAGAGCAACTAGGATTATAACTACAGCCACTGCATGAATAAAATGAGCCACTGACGGTCCTGTGGACTTCATGTCAACATGCGAATGTCTCTCACAGACTCTCAACAGCATCAGTTCATTCACACTCAACTAGTATCTGTGGGTCAGTTTACTCACCAGCATTACAAGAACACTTGGGTTAATAAGGACACTTCTGGGCCCTCATTTATCAACCGTGTAGAAAAGGTTCTATACTTTGTCCTTATTTTTACACACATTCCTACATATAAGTACAAGCTGGTAGATCCCACACTCTGCGTGAAACTGTTCTTACACACTCATCTGTGCGAATGTGCTGTTGATAAATGAAGGCTCAGGAGTTTCTGTAATTCAAACACCTTTATGAAAAAAACCTGTCAGAAAATGTTTTACTGAAATGTAAAAAAAAAACTTTAGATGGGTTTCTGTTAGGGTTAAAGGATAGTATGAGCTCAAAATAAAAACAATTACTCCAATAAACCTCCAGTTTGTGAGTGTCTTTTACCCATCATGCCCTTGGTGGGCCAGTACTCACAGGTATCCACAAAGGAAGAATGCAGATGGAGTAAATGGAGTGCAACAATGACTGTGGACTGCACAGCTGCTCACACACACACAAACACACACACACAGTGTCTGATCACTGCTGTATTTAGAGATAGAATCAGAAGCACAGATTTGCGTTTGTGTGCTTGTTTGGTACAGCTGAGCAATATTACCACAATGATGTGCATCATGGCAAACAGCACATACAAGGGGAAGTTATGCAAGCTCCCACCTTTAAAGAAAAAGTCTTGTTTGTCTGTTTGACTGGCCGATATAACAGTGATGCAAGACTTTATTCTGACACCTACTGGCATGAATGCAGCATTGCATAAAGAATAAGGTTTGGTTACCTTTGCCATCATGGAAACAAACTCAGGATTCATTTACAGCACTGAAAGTGTCTAATAATGGTCAGATGGTCATGTGATCTCGACATGGCAGTTGCATGAGAAGGGATCTAATGTACAATAAATGCTAAACTGTGGCTGAGATCATCAGGCATACATGTCGTTTGCTGATTAGGCTTATGAATCAAATGAGGCATTAAGGTGCTGTGAGGCTGAACAAACCCTTCTTTGTGCCGCACACTCCTCTTTCACCTCACCAGCTGCCTTCACGACTCTTCATCTCCGTCCCTTGTTTTTAACCTCTTTGTTTAGCTCTTTGTGCGAGAGCCGCCACACACCGACTAGTCACGTGACACTGAACACTGTGAGCTGCTCTCACCTTTCATGATCAGCTTTCCTCAGCGCACAAAACAACCTTTGCAGAAATCAAATCCATTACAAATGTCTATGAAAACATGTCAACACTACATGTTGTGGGTTGTTGCCGGGATGTGATGCGGTTGCTAAGGTGTCCTGAGTGTATTTTGTTTTAAATGTGTTGATATGTTGTTGCTAGGGAGTTCTGTGTTGAGAGGTCAGCTGTAGGCAGATACTACTACTAAGAAAAAAAAGACAAGATTTTGTACAAATAATTCTATAAAATATTCTTCAAATGTACTTGTAATAAAGAAATTCAAAGGTTTTCTTCGTCCATCTTACAAAATAAGCCCTTAAGGCTGATGATACACGGGGCAACGTGGCCGTCAAAGGGTAACCAGGTGAGACACAGGCACGACTGATATAAAGGGTCCAGGTAGAAATTTGTAACCCATTCTCAATAGGAAAGTGCCCAAGCAACACTGCTCAAAAAAAGTTGCCCGGCAAAATTGCTCAAAAAGTTGCCCGGTGTGTCATTAGCCTAAAAGCTTGTCCTGATAAAAAACCATTGTCTTTCGCAGACCAAAATCATGTTTCATGGACAAGTTGGTGCTACATATTGACATGTTGGTGCTTCTTCACCCTTCAGTAAATGTCCATGTGTCAGTCTAGTGTGGCCTATTCACACCTGCTATATACAACTTGGCCGTGTCTTGATTTAAAGGGGTAGTTGCATCTTTTTCACACCTGAGAATACATTTCAAACAGTTTATTTTGACATTATTGCCATTTCTCTAATATGCATTGGTTGATTAAGGGTTTTGTGTCCTTGGGTGGGATTTTCTAGAGATGACAGATACAGCTAGGATTCAACACAAGGAGGACCTCCATCAGTGTCCATGTGCCGGCTGTCTGGTGCAGCAGATGAAACCGATCACATCTGATCACTCTACTCAACACACACGATCTGAGGAATCATTCATGACTGCAACAAGACGCCCACACTCAACTTTAATAGTGCTGGAGGTTTCCGTGAAAATAAAGCTGATGAGAGTTTGTTTAATGCAGTAACGCTGAGAGAGAAAGAGAGAGAGACAGACAGACAGAAATGTTGATATATGCACACAGAAAACATCATTTGAGGCCGTTTCAATGCGATGCGTGTTCACAATGTGCGCGTCTGTTCTTTTGTGTGCGATGATTGGCATGGCTGCTCCTTTCACAGCACTAGCTGCTGTTTTTGTTCAGCCTTTGTAAATGATTTGCATTTACTCAGCGGTAACGCTTGTGTTTGCCTCTGAGCCCACAGATGCTGATATGAACCGTGTGTGTGTGTGGTGTATTGGCAAGGCGTTGCACTAATTCAATATGTAAATGACATGTAGGAACCCAGCGAGCAGTCAGACGCGCAGCTCAATGCAGCAGTAATTGCATTTGCATCACAGCAATGGCTCTCAAATCTCCCTCTCTTATGGAAATCCTCTCTCCACTTCATTCTGCAGAACTGTGTGGTTTGGAAAAGGCCTCATTCTTCAATGACTAATTTTAATAACATTTGCATATTCATTACAATTAAGGCGACTTTGAGCTTTTGGTTTTTAAGTTAATTTGTATTTCTCAAGTGACGACAAAGACAATAGCAGAAATTACGTGGAATTAACGATTGCAGCACATTCCCCAAAAACGAACCTTGCAAATGAGAAAATTTTACATTGTGAGGATTTGATAGCCAGTTCCTGATGATTTGTTTTTAATCTGAAGGGTTTTCAGCTGCATCTCAGTTCCTAAAGGAGGCCATTTGGACGCTGATATTACAGAAGCATTGAACGTAATCTCTCTTATCTCTGATCCAGCACTCGCTCTGACAGCCTCATATCAGCCGTGAGACGCCACAAACATCAGCTCAGAGACCACAGTCAGCAGCTGTAATGACATCTGTGTAGAGCGCATCCGTTAGCCATGGAATAAATGGTCAAAGAAGAATGTATTCTGACAGACACAACCCTGAGCAATCAGTGTGAAACAGCGTCTCTATGAACACTTCAGAGCAGGTCTGATGGATGCTTGAATACAGTGCTAGTCAGAGGGTGACTGCTGCATTAGTCAGTGTTTGCATGCTCTAAAGAACAGTTAAAGCTCTTCTTAACAGAATTAATCACAAAGTGATTACAATGACAGAAACCCAGAATGCCCTGCTCTCAGCCCATCGTGTGCCTGAGTCGCCCTCAACCCCCGCATGCACAGATCGCTCTGCTTTAATCTGAGCGCTTTTACTTAATTTACTTAATTAACCGAAGGTCAAAGGTCATGCTCTGAGAGGAAGTGCTGCTGAAACAGGAACATGAGCCTCTACTGAAACTACAATGAACTGATAAAGGACACACAAACACGCAATCTACATAAGCAACATCACGACTGAGATGGAACCTCATAAGGGACTGATTTGGAGTGCCCTACATAGGCGGCAACTCCACACAGCACATGCAGCATATAAAACACTCAGAAATGTGGGATCAAATGCCTCACTAGTGGGTTGGCAAAATATTTTACAATACAAGTGAGGATATTTGGCCCTCACAAGTATAGTTAAACCAGTACACACACGCAGTTAGTAGTTCATTTATAATTACACTAAACGTCCTATCTCTGCTTGTCTAGCTAGATTGTTTTTGGTGTACAGTGGGCTGCATTTGTCGCTCAGTCACACAGAGGTCTAAACTAATCAATGACACTAATCAGTGATGCCTGCAGCGAGTGTCTGTTCACAGAAGAATTGTTCAAACGAAGATTCATTCATTATGAACCACTGAAAGTCCCTCATCATGCTGTAGCTACTCAAAGAGGTAAAGCTGATCTGGAAACAGTTCTATACAATGTTTCCTAAAGTACTGCAGCAGGTCCATTCAAGAGAGTAACAGATGCCCTGCAATAATGAATGATATTTAACGTATTAATATAAGAATTTCTGACCTAATATTAAGTCAGAAATTCATGCGTTATTTCTCCAGGCCATAAATATATAATGCAAACACAGTGAGTGTCACAGAGACGTACTTGATGGAGTTCCTGAAGTGATCTTCTGCTGGGTTTTTGACTGTGCAACTGTTCAGCAGCCACAGATCAGCGTCAGACGGGTTCTCTGGAGAAACAGAGACAGACAGGAGCAAAACATATTAATATTACTGCTGCCATCACAAATTACTCGCATAGTCATAACACAATACTGTGGTTTATACTCTATGTACAATACTATGGGTTTAACACCGAAACATCGACCTCCCTGTCGTAAGAGTGATGCTAAACCATCAAACGATCAATAGAGCCGGAGAACAGCGTCACTACAGTCAAATACCCTCAACAATAATCAGCATGTCTATAGAGAAGCAAACTATGACTTTAGACTGGTGGTACTTACCTCTTGTCTTGTTTTACGCTCATAGTTTTATTTGTAATTTAAATAGTGCACATACTCCAATGACTCAATCCAGCTCTTGTTATTACTAATAAGAGCTTATTCAAATAATCAAGTCACTCTAATAAAGCAGAGTCAGTCTGTGTGAGTCATTGCAGAGAACAGATATGATAAACGCTGACCGTTTACATCGCTTTTCTGTAGTGGTTCAACGGATCACAAATCTCACGGTTCGGATCACATTACGGTTTTTGACCCACGGATCGGATCAGCAAGAAAATAAAAAATATTTCAATTTAACTTGCTTTCTATTTATTACTTAAAGCGAAGTACTTCTTTGATACCACAGCAAATATTACTAGATTAACTAAGAACGTTTAAACATGATTAAAGAGACAAGAGAACAGCCAGTAAAAATAAGAATAAATACACAAATTACAAGCATAGATAAATACAACAGAATATGTTACAAATAAAATAAGGCTGGTAGTATTCAAATACAGAAATGTAATAATTAGGGAAAATAACACTGCATGGTGTTCACTGTATAAATTAAATACAGATTTTTATCGAGAACGTCGCACGAGTAACTAATCGAGTTCCCTTTCACCTTTTCTTTCTGGGATTGTTTAAAATCCGCTTGCTTGTGTAAATACGAACAAATGATAAATTTATACTCTATGATGGTTAAATTTTGCAATTAATCCGTGGATCACATGCGTGCCGAACCGTGGGGCTTGGTCCGTACGGATCACGGATCAACTATGATCCGTTTAACCACTACTTTTCTGTGATTTTCATTCAGGATGATTGCTTAATCATTTCATGGAAACTGTCATATTTCCATTTGTATGTCAGGTCGTAATATTTAGAATGAACAGTTTGAAATGATTATGTGTACTGGAGCACAAACGACTCTAATAAGATCTGTAACATGATCTAATGCTGCTTTACAGGAGCGTTTCACACGACACACACCTGAGGTGATCTGCTGTCTGAACTCACACACACACACACACTCACACACACTCACACACACACACACACACACACACTCACACACATACACACACACACACACTCACACACTCACACACTCACACACACATAGCGAGAGACTCGGCTGCACACTCACTTTCACAAGGACCTTTATGAGAGTTTGTGAGTGTTTCAGCGATGAATCACACAGGATTTCTTCCTCTCTCTGCTCCGAGTTCACTCGTGTAATTGCAAAGACATTTTTGTACAGCTGATCAGCACAGGTATTATAGTTCAAAAATAATAACTGTGCACCTTTAAAGATATAAAGGATTTATTCATCCTCATATTGTTCAAATCATATAAAAGGAGATGTGTCTCTTTTGCATGCAGTGAATGTGAATGCAGAGAGGCTGTTAAGATCCAAGCATGACAAGTGTATGTGTGAGCCTAAATCACTATTTGAAGCTCTTTCTCAGGGAGCACAGCTGTATGTTTGGACAGGATGGACAGGAGGACAGCAAAGAGAAAGGAGGAGGACAAGAAGCGTCCAAAACACACCTGATCCTGGCCTCCCTGGCCTCCACAATGAATGCTGGAGCAGGAATAAATCAGTGCTTCACGAACACTCAACACTGAACTGTATTTTCAAGAAGCGAAAACATTCACTTACATAACCTGCAGAGATCTGGAGCCGCTCAACGGACACTTAGGAAAAATATTTGCATAGTAAAATTTAAAACGAGCCTCAAGTACAACAGGATTCATTATTAACCAGATTTACAAAGGGACAAGAGTCAATTCCCCCCATTCCCACTGAGAAATGTGCAGAATCACTGACAACACAAGTGTAAAAGTGTAGAATCACACACACACAAACAAACACACTTACTTTCTAACCTCTTACTCTAACCCTACACCTAAACCTACCCATCACACAAAACTACAGGCATTTCACATTCTTAAAACACTTCATTCTGTGTGATTTATAAGCTTGTTTCCTCATGGGGACCAAAACATGCCCTCACAAGGTCAAAATTTACTGGTATTACTTTACTTTTGGGACATTTGTTCCTCATAACCTAGTGAATACCAGTACACACACACACACACACAGACACACACACACACACACACACACACACACACACACACACACAC